CCTCCTTACAAGACAATGCGAAAAGCCCATCCTAAACAGGGTAAAATATGTCGACATCACTTTCACTGCTATCTTGGTATCAAACATTCTCTCATCACCAGTTAGGAGGAAAACTTAACGTAGGAACCTTTGAGAATCCATCTTTATGTGGTAACTTAAGTGACTCAATTAGATACGTTCTCACATCACCAGTTAGGAGGAAAACTTAACTTAGGAACCTTTGAGAATCCATCTTTGTGTGGTAGCTTATGTGAGTCTGTCAGATACGTTCTCTCATCACCAGTTAGGAGGAAAACTTAACGTAGGAACCTTTGAGAATCCATCTTTATGTGATAGCTTAAGTGAGTCAGTTAGATACGTTCTCTCATCACCAGTTAGGAGGAAAACTTAACGTAGGAACCTTTGAGAATCCATCTTTATGTGGTAGCTTAAGTGAGTCAGTTAGATACGTTCTCACATCACCAGTTAGGAGGAAAACTTAACGTAGGAACCTTTGAGAATCCATCTTTGTATGGTAGCTTATGTGACTCTGTCAGATACGTTCTCTCATCACCAGTTAGGAGGAAAACTTAACGTAGGAACCTTTGAGAATCCATCTTTGTGTGGTAGCTTAAGTGAGTCAGTTAGATGCGTTCTCACATCACTAGTTAGGAGGATAATTTAATGTAGGAACCTTTGAGAATTCATCTTTGTGTGGTAGCTTAAGTGAGTCAGTTAGATACGTTCTCTTATCACCAGTTAGGAGGAAAACTTAACGTAGGAACCTTTAAGAATCCATCTTTGTGTGGTAGTTTAAGTGAGTCAGTTAGATGCGTTCTCACATCACTAGTTAGGAGGATAATTTAATGTAGGAACCTTTGAGAATTCATCTTTGTGTGGTAGTTTAAGTGAGTGAGTTAGATACGTTCTCATATCACCAGTTAGGAGGAAAACTTAACGTAGGAACCTTTGAGAATCCATCTTTGTGTGGTAGCTTAAGTGAGTCAGTTAGATACGTTCTCACCTCACCAGTTAGGAGGAAAACTTAACGTAGGAACCTTTTAGAGTCCATCTTTGTGTGGGAGCTTAAGTGAGTCAGTTAGATACGTTCTCACATCACCAGTTAGGAGGAAAACTTTACGTAGGAACCTTTGAGAATCCATCTTTGTGTGGTAGCTTAACTACGTCAGTTAGATACGTTCTCACATCACCAGTTAGGAGGAAAATTTAACGTAGGAACCTTTGAGAATCCTTCTTTGTGTGGTAGCTTAAGTGAGTCAGTTAGATACGTTCTCACATCACCAGTTAGGAGGAAAACTTAATGTAGGAACCTTTGAGCATCCATCTTTATGTGGTAGCTTAAGTGAGTCAGTTAGATACTTTCTCACATCACCAGTTAGGAGGAAAACTTAATGTAGGAACCTTTGAGAATCTATCTTTATGTGGTAGCTTAAGTGAGTCAGTTAGATACGTTCTCACATCACCAGTTAGGAGGAAAACTTAATGTAGGAACCTTTGAGAATCCATCTTTGTGTGGTAGCTTAAGTGAGTCAGTTAGATACGTTCTCACATCACCAGTTAGGAGGAAAACGTAGTGTAGGAACCTTTGATAATCCATCTTTGTGTGGTAGCTTATGTTAGTCTGTCAGATACATTCTCTCATCACCAGTTAGGAGGAAAACTTAACGTAGGAACCTTTGAGAATCCATCTTTGTGTGGTAGCTTAAGTGAGTCAGTTAGATACGTTTTCTTATCACCAGTTAGGAGGAAAACTTAACGTAGGAACCTTTAAGAATCCATCTTTGTGTGGTAGTTTAAGTGAGTCAGTTAGATATGTTCTCACATCACCAGTTAGGAGGATAATTTCATGTAGGAACCTTTGAGAATTCATCTTTGTATGGTAGTTTAAGTGAGTCAGTTAGATATGTTCTCACATCACCAGTTAGGAGGAAAACTTAACGTAGGAACCTTTGAGAATCCATCTTTGTGTGGTAGCTTAAGTGAGTCAGTTAGATACGTTCTCTTAAAACCAGTTAGGAGGAAAACTTAACGTAGGAACCTTTGAGAATCCATCTTTGTGTGGTAGCTTAAGTGAGTCAGTTAGACACGTTCTCACATCACCAGTTAGGAGGAAAACTTAACGTAGGAACCTTTAAGAATCCATCTTTGTGTGGTAGTTTAAGTGAGTCAGTTAGATACGTTCTCACATCACCAGTTAGGAGGAAAACTTAACATAGGAACCTTTAAGAATCCATCTTTGTGTGGTAGTTTAAGTGAGTCATTTAGATACGTTCTCACATCACCAGTTAGGAGGAAAACTTAACTTTGGAACCTTTGAGAATCCATCTTTGTGTGGTAGCTTAAGTGAGTCAGTTAGATACGTTCTCACATCACCAGTTAGGAGGAAAACTTAACGTAGGAGACCTTTAAGAATCCATCTTTGTGTGGTAGTTTAAGTGAGTCAGTTAGATACGTTCTCACATCACCAGTTAGGAGGAAAACTTTACGTAGGAACCTTTGAGAATCCATCTTTGTGTGGTTTCTTAACTACGTCAGTTAGATACGTTCTCACATCACCAGTTAGGAGGAAAACTTAACCTAGGAACCTTTGAGAATCCATCTTTGTGTGGTAGCTTAAGTGAGTCAGTTAGATACGTTCTCACATCACTAGTTTGGAGGAAACGTAGGAACCTTTGATAATCCATCTTTGTGTGGTAGCTTAAGTGAGTCAGTTAGATACGTTCTCACATCACCAGTTAGGAGGAAAACTTAACGTAGGAGACCTTTAAGAATCCATCTTTGTGTGGTAGTTTAAATGAGTCAGTTAGATACGTTCTCTCATTTCTAGTTAGGAGGATAATTTAATGTAGGAACCTTTGAGAATCCATCTATGTGTGGTAGCTTAAGTGAGTCAGTTAGATACGTTCTCACATCACCAATTAGGAGGAAAACTTAACATCTGCTATTGTGGTTAGGTTTGGTTAGGTAAAGTTTAGGCTAAGGTTAGGTTAGGTATTGTGTGTATGTATCTTACCACGCCCAAACCAATGTAGTTTCCCAAATCTCAAAGAGTCAAGTAAAATGATATAATGTAAAAATAATATAAAATTCAATAATATAACACATTGACCAAGATGGCGGCGACCTACTCTAGAGACTACGCTTCAGACGGGAGGATAACTGTTTATTATGACGTAAAAATCAGAATTGTTGATTTGTCCGATTGTTATCCTTGTCCGATTGTTGATCTGTCCGATTGTTGATCTGTCCGATTGTTGATCTGTCCGATTGTTGACCTGTCCGATTGTTGACATGTCTGATTGTTGACCTGTCCGATTGTTGACCTGTCCGATTGTTGACCTGTCCGATTGTTGACCTGTCCGATTGTTGACATGTCTGATTGTTGACCTGTCCGATTGTTGACCTCTCCGATTGTTGATCTCTCCGATTGTTGACCTGTCCGATTGTTGACCTGTCCGATTGTTGTCCTGTTCGATTGTTGACCTGTCCGATTGTTTACCTGTCCGATTGTTGACCTGTTCGATTGTTGATCTGTTCGATTGTTGACCTGTCCGATTGTTGACCTGTCCGATTGTTGATCTGTCCGATTGTATTGTACCTGTCCGATTGTTGGCTTATTGTTGACCTGTCCGATTGTTGACCTGTCCGATTGTAGACCTGTCCGATTGTTGGCCTGTCGATTGTTGACCTGTCCGATTGTTGACCATCCGATTGACCAGTCCGATTGTTGACCAGTCCGATTGTTGACCTGTCCGATTGTTGACCTATTCGATTGTTCATTTGTCCCGTCCGTTGACCTGTCCGATTGTTGACCCGTTCCGGTTGTTGACCTGTCCGATTGTTGACCTATTTGATTGTTGATTTGTCCGTGTTGACCTGTCCGATTGTTGACCTGTCCGATTGTTGACCCGTTCCGGTTGTTGACCTGTCCGATTGTTGACCTATTCGATTGTTGATTTGTCCGTGTTGACCTGTTCGATTGTTGATTTGTCCGTGTTGACCTGTCCGATTGTAGACTTGTCCGATTGTTGACCTGTCAGATTGTAGACCTGTCCGATTGTTGACCTGTCCGATTGTTGACCTATTCGATTGTTGATTTGTCCGTATTGACCTGTCCGATTGTTGACCTGTTCATGAGGGTTTGTTTTAGTTCTTTCTGTTTGACTTTTTTAAACTTAACCCCCTGTGACAACGGGTATCCATACGTTTATCCTTGAGCTTACAGACAATGGCACTTGCTTGTCTGTTAGTGCATCGGGGCTGTTTTCTTCCTGCATAGACAACAGTTCCCAGGGTGTCTGTGTATCTGTCAGCCACACAGACATTAGATCCCATGGTGTCTGTGTATCTGTCAGCCACACAGACATTAGATCCCAGGGTGTCTGTGTATCTGTTAGCCACACAGACATTAGATCCCAGGGTGTCTGTGATTCTGTTAGCCACACAGACATCATATCCCAGGGTGTCTGTGTATCTGTCAGCCACACAGAGATCATATCCCAGGGTGTCTGTGTATTTGTCAGCCACACAGACATCATATCCCAGGGTGTCTGTGTATCTGTCAGCCACATAGACTTCATATCCCAGGGTGTCTGTGTATCTGTCAGCCACACAGACATCATATCCCAGGGTGTCTGTGTATCTGTCAGCCACACAGACATCATATCCCAGGGTGTCTGTGTATCTGTCAGCCACACAGACTTCATATCCCAGGGTGTCTGTGTATCTGTCAGCCACATAGACATCAGATCCCAGGGTGTCTGTGTATCTGTTAGCCACACAGACATTAGATCCCAGGGTGTCTGTGATTCTGTTAGCCACACAGACATCATATCCCAGGGTGTCTGTGTATCTGTCAGCCACATAGACTTCATATCCCAGGGTGTCTGTGTATCTGTCAGCCACACAGACATCATATCCCAGGGTGTCTGTGTACCTGTTTGCCACACATATAAGCAAGCCTTGAGGGAGTGTTTTCTTTGCATGCGTCTTAGTTGCACCTCTTTAATTTTTCTCTCCTCAGAAGAAACATACATCATCAATATCTTGGAGTGAAGACGAGACACAGGCATCAGGGAACTTGAAGGACCAGGTAGGCTGTTATCTAATATCAGTCTTGGGTCACACATCATCACTATCTCTTATCAGATAACATAGGGGCTCGTATCTTTAAGGAAACAAAGTGTATATGTGCTAGTTTAGTGCTGTCTGTTTCACGTTACAGCTCTGTGTTTCACTTAACAGCTCTGTGTCCCACTTTATTTAGGCTGTGTTCCACTTTAGTGCTGTCTGTTTCACTTTACAGCTCTCTGTATCACTTTACAGCTCTGTGTCTCATTTTTTTTAGACTGTGTTCCACTCTAGAGCTTAGGGTTTTACTTTACATCTCTGTATTTCACTTTAATTAGACTGTGTTCCACTTTCGAGCTTCAGGTTTCACTTTACAGCTCTGTGTCTAACGTTTTTTAGACTGTTCCACTTTAGAACTTCAGGTTTCACTTTACAGCTCTGTATTTCACTTTATTTAGACGGTGTTCCACTTTAAAGCTTCAGGTTTCACTTTACAGCATTGTGTCTCACTTTTTTAGTCTGTGTTTCACTTTAGAGCTCTGTGCTTCAGTATAGAGCCTATTGCTTCACTATAGAGCACTGTGCTTCACTATAGAGCTCTGTGCTTCACTACAGAGCTCTGTGCTTCATTTTAGAGCTCTGTGCTTCACTATAGAGCTCTGCGCTTCACTATAAAGCTCTGTGCTCCATTTTAGAGCTCTGTGCTCCATTTTAGAGCTCTGTGTTTCAATATAGAGCTCTGTGCTTCACTGTAGAGCTCAGTGCTTCACTATAGAACTTAATATCATAGGTCCATGTATTATTTTAAAAGTCCGTGGTACATTTACAACATATTCTGTATAGAACACACATGCACTGTCCAGGACACATACGTACTGCCCAGAACACACATGTACTGCCCAGAACACACATGTACTGCCCAGAACACACATGTACTGCCCAGAACACACATGTACTGCCCAGAACACACATGTACTGCCCAGAACACACATGTACTGCCCAGAACACACATGTACTGTCCAGAACACACATGTACTGCCCAGAACACACATGTACTGCCCAGAACACACATGTACTGCCCAGAACACACATACTAGAACTGTTGCTGTCACTCGGAATCGAGTGTGACGTTCATCCAACATGATACAATGATATGAGCTAAAAGGCCGATACGAGACAGGTAGAGTCGTTCACAGATGTTGCCCATGTGAACGTCTCCGTCTAGTGTGGGAGGGGCGGCGGCAGCGTCTTTCCGGCGCTGGCGCTTGTCTGCGTCGGTTTGCAGTCGCATTAATTCGAAGGTATTGACACCTTCTCTTGTGGTGATCATCCAAGCGTTACAGTGTGGAGTGATCGTCTCCCAGGTGAGGGGGTCGATTTAGCACTTTTTCAGGTTTGTTTTAAGACTATCCTTATACCTTTTCAGTTGCCCGCCGGCGTTATATTTACTATTCATTAGGTGACTGTAAAGTAGCTGCTTTGACAGTCTACTGTCGTCCATGCGGGTGACATGCCTAGTCCAACGTAGTTGTTCATGGATAATGGTAGCCTCGATGCTCCTACAGTTGATGTCAGCAAGAATACTGGCATTTGTTCTCTTGTCTTCCCGGCAAACTCGGAGGATGGAACATAGACTACGTTGGCGAAAGTTTTCAAGTGCCTGAGGTGTCCTCTGTATGTGGCCCATGTCTCACTTCCATATAGCTTGGTGGGGAGGACCACTGCTTGATATACGTGTAACTTTGTAGATAATTTCTGCTCCCTACAGCTGAAGACAAGGGTACGGAGTCTGCCAAAGGCTTGAGATGCACATCTGATCCGATGTTGAATCTCTTCATTGATGTCCGCTGTGGTGGACAGGTGGGAGCCGAGTTACTGAAAGTGGGTAGCATTAGAGAGGGTAGTACCATTAAGCTGGATGGATGGCGGAGATATGGTTGGCCCAGGGGCAGGTTGAAAGAGAATCTGAGTCACGTACATTCACCTCAAGGCCGAAGTGTGCATATGCATTTGCATAGGTGTTCAGGATCTCCTGTAGGTCGCGTTTAGTGTAGGCAACAAGGGTAAGGTCGTCTGCATACTGAAGTTCTGAAATGGAAGCTGCTGACACCTTTTCTCCTGCATGGGAGCCGTCTTATTTTGAAAAGATCCTTCATCCGGCTCTCTATGTCCACCCTGCTGCCTAAATTTGCACTAGCACGAGTAAGGAAGGCAGCCAAGAAAATGGAAAAGAGATTTGGCGCTAGTACACATCCTTGTTTAACCCCTGTTTGGATGGGGAAGAACTCAGACTGGGTGCCATTGTGCAGGGACACTGCCGTTCATGCCGTCGTGGAGTTGCCTCACAATGGCGATTAACTTTTGTGGCCAGCCAAACCGGCTGAGGGTCCGCCAGAGGGCTTCCCCGTTGACCGAGTCGAAGGCCTTGGTTAGGTCGATAACTGCCATGTACAGGTCACGGCGCTGTTCTCTGCACTTTTCCTGTATCTGGCAGGCAACAAAGATCATGCCAATGGTGCCACGTGATGGTCTAAACTCACACTGAGATTCTGGGAGGAAGTTTTCCGCCTTAGGTAGTAGTCTGTTTAGGTGGACTCGGGTGATAATCTTGCCAGCTACGGACAGCAGCGAGATCCCGCGGTAGTTGCCACAGTCTGACTGGTCTCCCTTTTTCTTATAAATATTGACGATGGAGGCGTCTCTAAGAGCTTGGGGATTTCCTTCTTTTCCCATATATTCTCCAGGAGAGAGTGGAGACGGCAGGTAAGCAGAGGTCCTCCTGCTTTATACACCTCGGCTGGGTTATCATCAGGCCCTGAGGCTTTGTTATTTTCATCTGTTTGATGGCAGTAGTTATCTCATCCAGGGATGGCGGATAGCTGAGGTGGGTTAGCTTCAGATGCTGAGAGACCTGCTGGGGAGTCAGGACATCCACATCAGTGTTTCGGTTGAGCAACGAATGGTAGTGCTCTTTCCAGCAATGAAGGAGGCCTTCTTCGTCTTTAATTATGGAGTTACCGTCGGATGAGCAGAGGGGGGCTGTGCCATGAGTGATTAGCCCATAAAATGATTTAGTGGAATTGAAAAATTCGCGCATCTTGTGTTGATCTGCAAGTTTTTGCGTTTCACATGCTGTATTTTTAAACCAGTCGTTCTTTAGTTTGCGAAGTTCGCGCTGGGCTGCCGCTTTCTTCCTGCGTAAGGCATCAGCTTTGGTTCTAGATTGAGGGTTGTTGTGGTCAATTAAAGCAGCACGTTTATCATCAACGAGTACATTGATTTCCGGGTCATTTTCATCAAACAAGTCCTGGTGTATTCTTTCGACCTGGCCGAGGGTTTCTCTGCAGGTTTTTGTCATGATAGTGCCGAGAATACTCCATTCGGCACTGGGATTCGGGTTGTTTGTTGTTGGGTTGTTTATCAGCCCATGTTCGACCTGCTCTCTGAAATCATGTGCTACCACTGGATCCTCCGGATGCTTAGTGTTAAAACCTCTTCTGGAGGCGTGTTGCCTTCGTCGTTTTGGGGGGCCCTGAAGCGAGAGCCTGGCTCTGACGAGCATTGGTCAGGGATGAGGACACCTCGATGATCTCTTTCTCTGACAATGATGTAGTCAATGAGATGCCAGTGTTTGGATTGTGGGGGTTGCCACGATCACTTGAACTTATCGGCCTGCCTAAACAAGGTATTGGTGATAGTGAGGATGAGTGCAGCTCGCTAGCTGAGGAGTAGGAGGCCGGTGGGGTTACACTTGCCTAGTCCATTTCTCCCTGTGATTCCCTACCAAATGTCAGCATCTCTGCCAGCTCTGGCATTGAAGTCACCAAGGAGCACAACCTTATCTTCTCTGGGGGATAGAGGTTAGCACTCTGTCAAGGCCAGCGTAAAATGCCTCCTTGATGCCATCCTCCGCATCCAGTGTTGGGGCGTATGCACTGATGAAGAAGGCATGACGTGAGTGATTCAGTGGGACTCTGGGCGGCATGAGGTTCTCTTTGGTTCTAACAGGCATTTCAGTGAACCTGTGTAGGATGCATTGGCGGGTGGCAAAGTCAACTCCAAAACTGTTGTTTGTCTCTGCAGCAGGCTTACCCTAACAGAAGAAGATATAGCCAGACCCCCGTTCTGTGAGTCGACCCTCGTCTGGGAGCTGGGACTCACTAATGGCTGCCTGCAGTTCTTTCAGGACGCTCATTTGTGCCAGTATCCAGAAGGGTCCTGACTTTCCATGCAGCGACCATAAGAGGTGGTCTAGTTTGCTTTTGTTTTGAACTATGATTATAATAGTGTTTTCGACCGCATAAGGATGACCTTACTGGGTGCGGTTGACCACTCAGGTGAGCATTTAGGCAGACTATGTTTAGGTCACCTTTTCTAGCCCCCTCCCCTGTGCTCAGTCGCACAGACAGAGCCGGATTGCATTGCTGCCTAGATCCCAGTGCATATTGTAAACGACCATCTTCTCTGTGCCGCCCATGTGCAGAGTTGTGAGTAGAGACTCCCGGCAGCCATCTCTGCCTGTCCCCGTCGCCACTCGTCCATCGCCATTGGACTTTTGGGGGTATACAGTAGGTGTTTTGATGATGATGGGAGGAATGGTGAGCTGGATGATGGCTGTGTGTGAGTTGATTTATGTGGTGAGGCAGGAGCGCAGGCTGCAACCACACATCTTGGCTCTCCCTTTGCCTGATCCAGTGGTGCAAGTGTTGCAACGACAGGGAAGAGGGAGAGTTGCACACACATATACCGCTGTCTAGAACACACATGTACTGTCCAGAACACACATGTACTGTCCAGACCACACATGTACTGTCCAGAACACACATGTTCTGTCCAGAACATACATGTTCTCTCCAGAACACACATGTTCTGTCCAGAACATACATGTACTGTCCAGAGCACACAGGTACTGTCCAGAACACACATGTTCTCTCCAGAACACACAGGTACTGTCCAGAACACACATGTTCTGTCCAGAACACACAGGTACTGTCCAGAACACACATGTTCTGTCCAGAACAC